CAGAAGAGAAAAGTGGAGAAGGTGGTATTACAGAACCCAGGAGCTGGGATACTTGTTAGAGCTGGTACCATAAAGTAAATTCAGCCTCTGCTGTGGATCCTCCAGAAACAGAAAGGAGAATATGTTGGCTTTTCCTCTCTTCCTGTCCTCCACAATTCCAACCAGTACCTCCTATTATCAGCCAAATCTAATTGGCAGTCAGTTGGCAATGCAGACAAGGAAATGTAATTTGCTGAGGTCAGCCACTCACAATACAGAATGGATCAAGAAAAGAATGAAGATGGGATCTTTCAGTAAATAGAAAAAGTGAATAATGCAGTGATTTAATAGAAAGAGTAAGAGCTTCAGAATAAAACAGATCTAAGTTTAAACCCTAGCTGCATCACTTATTGTGTGATTTAGGAAGTCAGTTAAACTCCTCTAGGCCTCAATTTCTTCATCTATAAAATAAAAATACCAACCTCATGAGAGATTAGTATGAGAACAAATATAATGCACATAAAACATGTATCACGTTTTATATGAACAGTTGCTATATACTCTTCTAAGTTTCTGGGACAAATATTAATTCTTATTGTTATTAAATTCCAAACTCAGTGCCTGGCACATAGCAAGCACTCACTAAGTTAGATTTCTTTTCCACTAAAGTATTTATTCAGTTGAATCACACCTCTACCCCTTTCTTTCCATCTTCTCATTTCTCAGTGATACTTGCCTTATTTCCATAACATACTTCATTCTCTTACAGTGTGGCTTCAGAGAGAGAAATAAACCAGGTAAATGTGGTTTCTCAAATGATAAACTTAAAATGAAAAATGTGTTTGTTTTCAAAAGTCAAACAAATTAAAACATCTGCTTTAAAAAGGAGATGTTAAGACAAAATACGCTGGCTTAGATTGGACTCTATGAACTCTGAGGCCTCTTCCAAACCCTGAGGTTCATCAATTTGCAGAAACTTCAAATACAGAGGGCACTGAGGTTTCATATCTAAATGAATAGCATAATGGCTTTCCTCTTATCTGCAGAGTATGTGTTTACACATTGGCCCTGTTTAAAACAACAGATGAAATCTTCAGGCCCCTCTTCAGAACTGATAAATTCTAATCATGGAGAAAATATTTTGTGCCAATAAACTTCTCAAATTTGCTATACCCCTCCCTTAGATGCTTTGAATTGGTACACGAAAGGATCTCCACCAAAAAATGTCCTTCTCGCTCTTATGAGCTAGAAGATTTAGATTGCTGGCTCTAAAAATATTTGTTCTTCAGTCATGCTACTTCTGAAGACATAGCAATGAAAACAATTCTTTATTGGAAATTCTTATAGCCCTTACAAAAAAGCCTTCTGTATCATGACATCACACAGATGAGGCTTCATAACCACTCTCTGATTGTTTTAGGTATGCATGATTCTTTCCATACCCCACTCCCAACCAGCTCCTTAAGAGAAGAGGCTGTGTTTTATTTATACTTGTACTTGTCACGGTGCCTAAAATGGCCATAAGCTACAAATGTTATTTAAATATATAGTGAATGAAGAATGAAGGAAACCACTCCATGGTTTAAATATAGACTAAACAAGATGACATACTTGAAAGCACCAGTCACAAAGCAAACATTTTCCCTTCATTCCTTACATAAGTTCAATGAGCTAGCTTAAAATTTTAAGAAAATCCATTAATGGTACCAAAATAGAAATATTGCTAGCTTCAAGCAGAAAATAAGATATTCTTTTTTAAAAATAAGCAGCTGACCTCTTCTCAGAGGCTTCTTCATGGACATACCAAAACAAAACAATTGCTCTGGTTAGAATTAAGATGAAGAAATGTAATGCTATCTACATATCCAAGGTCTGTACTTATACAGTTACAGGCAATTTTTTTGGTGGATGACTCATCCATTTGCCTCCGAGTGGTAGGCAAAATACCACAGCTACCTAGGATAAATGCAGAGGATGAACAGAAAAAATGACTATGTAGATCTGAGCAAGGAAGTGAAAGGAATAGGATGGATTTAAGGCAATTTATTTGAAAAAAAAATTTAAACTGGTTACTTACCCCACGGTACTGGCTTTCATTGAAAATCTGAGGTGGCAGGGGATACCCTGTGGCTGGTCGACTATTTTCAGGTACATTTTCTCTCATCCACTTCCGATTCTCTTCACTGGCAGCTATATCTTTTTCTTCAAACCCTATTTTGTTAGCTTCTAAGAAACCAAGCAAATCTTGCTGTTTCTTCTTAATCTAGGACCCAAAGTACAAGAAACTGTATTATTGAACAAACAGCTTTTGTGTTTTTTATTTTTTTCAAATTCAACAAAAGTCGGTGTTTGTGAACTAGCAGGA